CGTTTTGTTGGGAAAATAAATTGAAAATGTTGTCTAAATCAAGACTATATAGTTTTCAGAGATAAAACTAATAATTTTGTTTTGGTTGAAGTTGATAGAGGTCTACAATTACTTTGACCGTCCTTCGATTACTCGATGCCTCTATTTTTTCCTTAAATATCGCATTAAGTAGACTAAAATCGGAAAAATTACATACTACAAACTTACAAATGAATTGGTTATTATCCGGTCAATTAACAGATTATGAGCACCATTACGTTACATAACATAATTCTTGATTTTTCTTTCCTTTTTCTCTTTTAATATTTTTCATCCCGTATTATTATTATTATTATTTTTTTGTAAAATTGAGAAGATAATATTTGTGGTAAAACGGGAATATTTTTGTAAACATATAAGAGATGCTAGTAAAAATGACATCTCTAATAAGTGAGAGATTCTTTAATGTTTTCGTAAACTAAAACTAAAGGGTATTCCTGATCCAAAACAAACTAGAGGTGGTGAAATGAAATGTATCATTTATAAACTACTAGTAGTAAAAACTGACACTTACTAAACTTTGGGGGAAAAGATAAATATATAGAAATACTGGAGTTTTTTGCAGTTATAGTAAAGTTGGAACCTAAAACCACAAAATCAACCCTAGAAACAAACGCCGGTGAGAAAAAACGGTGACTCAGAGGGGGAGAGAGATGTCGTTCTTGTATGAGAAGAGCCATACATGGAGATGGCTAGTGAGGCAGACGAGAGATTCTAAACCTTTCTTCTTCACATTCGCTACTGTTTGTGGTGTGATTCCTGGCTTAATTGGCTATTGTGTTATGCAAGTCACCAATTCCACTAACCCGGAGCTCGAAGCCCGGCTCCGACAATCCGCCCGACCCGATACCCTCGTATGTACCGCTCCTATCTCTTCTCTGTAGCTCTGTAATGTGACTGTTCCGGTGATTTTGCTCTTTCCTCTAAGCATTTTCATTGGTCGTTGATCGGATTCCTGAAGATTCTGAGATATTAAATGTATCCGTGAATCATCGGATCTCAAATATGTTTTTGCTCGAAGACCAAACATTAGTCTTCATTTAGTCTGATGCAAGTAATTATCCTTACATTGATGCTAATCGGAAAGGTAGATCATTGAGCTTGATGGTTACAATTTGTTCATACATAGTCTCTAGAGAAAGCCTTGATTGCGTGGGAACTTCTCTTGAAGGATGATTAGAATATCTTGATTTTGCTAGTTGTCGATGCAAGTTCTTCATTTAGGGTTTCTTTCCCTGATTATCATGATGGCTGTTCGGTGACTGAAACATGTAATTGGTCTTTTATTGATGCTAATTGGTAAAGCTAGATCATTGAGCTTGATGATTACAATTTGTTCATACATAGTCTCTGGAGAAGCCTTGATTGTGTGGAAACTGTTCGTAAAAGATGAGTAGAACATGTGATGATTGTTGTCTCTCGTGCTTATGTTGGTTGAGAATTTGAAATCATTTCTTTCCTGGTACTTTGCAAAGTGCCATGGCATTGAGTTCCTCTAGAGTTGTTGAGGCCTAAATTTGTTGGGGAAGATTGTAGAGTTCGGCCTTTCTAGGTTCTCTTGCTAGTAACACCAACACATTGTTCTGTGTTAACTAGGAATTTTATGTATCTGAGTTCTTGGTCTGCTTAACAATGTCGACTCGATTGAAGTTTCTTGATCATAGCCGTATGTTAATAATCTAAGGCTGATACTATAGCTTGTCATTTTGCAATTTTGGGTTTTTGTAATCGTCGAAATTTTTTGTGTTATTTTCTGCTGATGAAACAACACCTTCCTGCAATTTATGGTCAGATGATGGGTAAAGTAAACCAGGAGAGACTAGCTGAATATCTCGGTGAGTTGAAACAGAAACAGGATACAAACGACAGATACGTGGCTGCTCTAAGGGGAGAGACTCTTACCAGGAAGCCTTACCAAAGAATCCAACCAGTGCCAAAGCCAAATGACACGGTGACAACCAAAGCTCAGTAATGATGAATTCTTTGAAGAGCTATTGTAATGGATGCTTCTCACTCTCGAATCTTTCGTCGATGTAAAGAAGGCATGTTCCTTGGCTGTAATGTTTTTTCTTTTTCTTTTTGTATCTGGCATACTTTGTGGTTTTCAAACTGGTGCAAACAACATTCAATCACTTCAAACACTTTGTTACAATGAATAAAAATGTAAAACCCATGTTTTGTACATTGTTTCTTCATTCTTGTTTGCAAGTTAACATTTTATAGAACATAGGAAATTAATGGTACAAGCTGATTCTTGAACATTGTCAGAGACTTGGTACAACCAAATTGTAGATTCTACAATGGAGAAAGACAGTATGTGCAAGTGTTTTGTCATTCGCAGACAAACGTTTGTCGGCATTGATCACATGTAAAGCCGCAGCCGGTTTGTGATCAGTACTCTGCAGATGGGGCAGTTTGATATCCTGGCTCCGCAATCTCCACAAGTCTGCGAAACATTGCAAAGGTAAGTTAAACTGGTTTATTCATGAATGAGTTTGAGTAAAAGAAAATAAGTGAAAGCCCACAGTTAGGACTCCTGGGTGAAACTTACCATGTGGCCACAGTTGAAAGCCACGTCTTTTCGGTTAGTCAGACAAATCGGGCAATTCTGTTTGAACGGGAAACCATATGAGATTGGATTTGAGTCGACAAAGGTCATTACAGAGTAAAGTAAGCAACTTATGTGACCTGTGTTTGTTCTTCTGATACAGGTGCTGGTAGTTCAGCATTAACTGGAGGCGTGTACGGAATTGGTGGTGGCCTTGGAACTACTTTTCTAGCTTCTACCGCCGGTTTCCTTTAAAGAAAGGAGCAGCGTACAACAGTTAGACCGAAAAAGAGAAAGATAATAATTCTGTTGTCACTTGAAAGAGATACTTATGTAAGTACCTGAGTGAGCTGAGTTCGTTTAGTGCTTGATACTGATAGGGAATCTCCATTAGAGCAGCAAGAGCAAAGGCAGTTTCTTTGGCAGACGCTGATAAATCCCTCGACATGATCTCTGTAAAATTCACAAACTTTGCAAGAGAGAAGATCAAGCTCAGGAAAAAAGCTCCAAGAAAGGGAATATAGATGGAGAAAGAATTTGGAACTGAGGTGATACCTGAAAGTTGTCGAATTCTCGCTTAGGTAACTTGTCATCAAACTTCCTCATGTCATCCCATGGGCCGTCTCCGACACCGATTAAAACAATTGACAAAGCATACGAGCTGTAAGGTAAAAAGAAACTCCGAAAAAGCCTATTTTAGATTCTGGAAACCGAGTTGCAGAAATGAAGAAACTGAATCTGCGTATTTTCACCTTGCGTTTACAATCGCATTGATGGTTGTTTTCTCTTGTTGACTGAGTTCTCCCTCAGGCATATCTAGACCTCTAGTTACCTTTACATTCAGAATGTTGCCTTTATAAGTTTTTGGTGTTCATACTTGTTTAGTTTTAAAGGCGTTTAACTTCACCTGTCCATCAGCGACGATCACCAGAACATGGAATTGTCCTCCGCTCTTCTGGACAATGTCGATTGCAGTTTCAATGAGCGGTGCATACGACGTTGGCCCTTTAGAAGAAAGCTGTACGCGTAAGCTTGTTTGGTAATAAAGCTATGGAAGGTATATATTACATTTTCAAGGGAAAGACCTGATAGACGCAAGTTGGGTGCAATTCTCCTGTAACAAGCTAAGACCTCTTCAAAGCCATGACATGGAGAATGGTCGCTATGGAAACTAAACACTTCTTCGTCGTGTGTCGTTGCTTGAAAACGCAAGAAAACACAGTCTTAGGACACGAAGATTAATGAAAAAAGATGAGGGAAAACAAACAAGAAGACTCACAATCGCCAAATCCGAAACAAGGAATGAGATTGTCTTCGTCGAAAGGAGCCAATGTTTGGCCGATTACGAAAATCGCCTTTTCGTATGGATTCGGAATTTCATCATCAAATGCGTGTAAACATTTTCCATCGAATGAAGTTTTCCCTAAAACAGAACCATAATCATCAATCACTCTTGTCACATTCAACATATAGTTACAATAAGTTGTATTTTATACACTACTTACCAGTCCATTCATTGCTCTTTGTGAAATCAATTCCAAGAATCAGGTTAGATGATTCAAGACCAGCTTCTCTTAAAGCTTTTGACACCTATTTTAAAACACCATTCATTAACTCAAGAACAATTCACATAATTTTTTTTTTTTTTATAATTAGAAAGTTTACCAAATCGTTTTATATCCCAATGTCAACGAAATGGAGGAGGAAATATTTTCAAAAAATAATAATAATCATATGCTTTAAATTATTAAAATTTGAATAAATCAAAAGAACATGGAACGAGCAGAAACGATGGTGATCCAAAAGTGAAGTCAACACAAGAAATTGAGACA